AACCCAAACTTGTATCTGTTTGGATCCTTACAGAGCTTAGAAGTCAGTTTGCAGGCATCTTTCATTTACATGTGTGGGTTTCCATATCCTTGGTAAGTGTAGCACAGGTGACACTTAGGGTTAGCTTTGTGCTTGATGACAACCAATCCTTTGACTAGATCTTTTCACTGTCTCTGTCCCATAGGGGTGTAGTTGTGGATGGCTGATACATTTCTGGTCTCCAATTTTTTTTGTCTCTACATTCCACTTTGCCTAGTTAGGTTGTACACCCTATCCAGCTGTGGATGATGACCCACTTTTTCTTTTTCATGTCTTCTCTCATCATGTCTGTCATCTCATGGCTTCTCTAGTCTCTAGCCATCGTTGTCCCATGTATGTGATCTTGTAGGTGGGTAGGTGAATGATCCACAACAAATTAGTATCCCATTCCTTTCACTGATTCCCAACAGAACTGGGAATTGATGTCCAGGGATTTTCTATGTTCCAATCTTCACTTAAAAAATGTTTGGTGAACACAAAAGTCCAATATAGCCAATTCTCTAATACACTCACAGTTTTGTCATTTTGTTTGTCTTCCAGAATAGATGTTTCAGTTGAAAATCCTTCCCTTTCATCTGGTAGTCTGCCCCCATTTGTCTCCATTAGAGTGATTAGAGCCATGACAGTTGTTCCTTTGTCAGCAAGGTGTTACTTTTCATAACTTTTTTTAATAATTGGTTGATTCCTTCTTTATATGTACATTGATAGCTACTGTTAGTGATATGGTAGAGAAGATGAAAACTTTACTTTATAAAACTTTTGATGTTCATTTAGGAAGTTCTAGGGGTTATGCAAATGAAATTTGAAAACTGTAAGATAAAGTATTTTTATACCTTATACAGGTCTCAACAAATCTTGGGTGCCAGGTCACAATGATAGCTAAAAATTTCATTGTGGCACCTAGTAATTTCTCCCATTTTATTCATGGGTAGGGCTATGCTAAATATAACTCGAATCTTGAACAGTTCTGGACTCTTGGAAATCTGGAACTATTTTCATGTTCTTTGACTCCTAAATCAAACTTTGTTTCTAGGATTTTAATGGCAGATTCAGCACTTCTTCATGTTTTTTTTTTTTTCAGGAATTAAGCACCGTGGTTGCATCACACATTACTAATTTTGTGCCATTTTGTTCTTTTTCTTTCTCTCAATTCAACCAATCAGTGTGTGTGTTTAGCCTTAGACAGAATCAAAGGCAGTTAGTTCAGGCAATACTATTAAGTAGTTGTTGATATCATGTGATCATTAGCATGCACTTGTTGCCATGAAAGTAAATAGATATATATAGCCCACATTTTCTGGTACAAACAATAGTGAAGTTAGGTTGGGCACACCTGGCCTAGGTTGGGTTTTTGGGTTGGCTCCTAGATCTGAAAATATTTGTTGAGGCCTGACTTAAAATGAAAATCACCTTGCATTTGAACTGTTTAGAATCTGAGTGTAAATAACTACAATAAGTAACAAATATTTTGTAGAATTAGTAGAAAAATCAAAATTAAGTATTTTATTTTTCTGAAACTACATATCTTTTGAAAGTTCTTGTCCAATTTCAAACAATTTCATCCACTAGTTTTATTTTCGGAATGAAATATGAAGAGAACCACATTATGTCCTTACAATGTGAGGACCCAGCTAACATTCCTTTACACTGTTGCATCAGTTATCATGACTTATTGTATATTCTAAATTCAATTGGTCAGCATTGCTGTTTATAGTTCTCCACTTGAGTGCTCTCCTTTCTCTGTTCTCTTCTTCTCTTTCAGTATGAGTTTTCCAACTCAAAGTCATCGTAAAATTGGTATCACAGAATTAAAATAAAGTTAAAAGAGATAATTATTTCTGCTGAAATTATCTCCCTCTTCTTCACAGTAGTGAATTGAGAAAACTTAATGTTATCTGATAAGAAACTATAAAGGTAAAGACATATAGAGGTAGTACCACATGATAGGTGGTAATATGTTAGTATGATAGTATGTTAATAGGTAACTATAAGAAGAAACTGTTTGAAGAAAATCAATTATTTTACATAGAGAACAATTTTATGCAAAATGATGCCAAATAGTGGAATGACTTGGATGTGGACAAAGTGGGTATATTTTTGACATGATCCAAGAGTAGTTAGCTCAAAGTTATGGTAGAAGAAAGTAACATCTTGATCTTTATTCTAATTCTAAAATATTAATCTTAATGTAATGTTTTGTGATAAGAGAATTTCATAGTTCCTTAAATTGATTTCAATAGGTTTAAACTTTTTTGTTTCAATTTTCATGTTATTTATTAAACATGTATGTCACACATTTTATTTTACATTCCATTATATTGTTACTATTTAAATATGTTCTTTCTAAACTCGCTCAATAGTTATTGTTGTTTTTTGGAGTTAGAATAATGTGAACTAACTTTTTTGAGGTTTTAATGCTGATGATGGAATTTGAAGAAATTCCAAAATGTCAGTAATTAAAAAAAATGTGTTTTGGCATTACCTTTTTTTAATATTTATTTTAAAACTTCATTTTTCACCTGATGACTCAGCAGTTATGTTGTTAGTAACTTTGCTAGATTATTAACCCTCTTGCTATGGACAAGTCAAAGGATGCATGTCAGAACATTTTAGAGTTACTTTCAAAATTTAATTAAGTAACTTTATACCATTGTATGTCAAATTAGCATCACGATATAGTTTGCCATTTAAATTTTAATATTATGTATGTTTTAATTTCCTATTTTAAAATAAAATGCTAGATATGTTTTTGTGTGTCATATAGCATTTTTTCTTTTATTGCACAGATCATATTTTCTTATGCCTATCATATAATGTCTGTAGTGGTTAATGAATTAGAAACTCAAGTTTCAGATATTTAAAAATTAGAATATAAAATAAGAGCCTTCCATCTTTTTGAATTGCTGAAATATATATAAATATATATTTTGCAAACCTACCAGGGTAGCCCAGGCCACTACTCCATTCTTTTGAAACTTCTTGTCCACTCTTGCCTACTTCTCTTAAGTACATATTTATAACCAATAAAAAGAGCACATTTCAAACTATGTAAATCTGACAGTCGTTTGTAATTGGCTTGAAGGTGAAACTTGTAATTTCACTGGAAATGATAAATTTTGTAACAGTGACAACGTGAGAGAACAAATCAATTTTGTTACATCATGAGTACTAGAAATCTGTGTTTTTTTATATA